ATTTTCACCTATCGCGGATGTTTGTGGAACCTAACTTCCGCGATAGACGAGGGACAATTGTACAACAAAAATTTATTTCTTCACATCCTGCTAATCTCTTGATTCCTTTTATGATAGTGCATAATCAGCTATGCTGATAGGATAACTGCCTTTCCTATTGGGGGACGATTATTCGTTTCTGAGACGTTACTTTCATAGGCATAAACTCTAATCAGAAAGACACAGCTTAATCGAAATATTGTTTTCTACGCCATCGCAAAAAAATCGTAGTTTAAGACCTTAATTTTATTATTATTAAGGGAAAGTACAGCAGCGCCTAGTGTTGGTATATGCGAATTTCGAGCGACATTCTAAAGTGTGGTACGATCGATCTATCCGGACAGCAACGTAGATCACCATACTGAAAACTGCTGTCTCCTCAATCCTGATTTACATTCTTAAAATAGCAACCCTTTTAAAGCATCATGAAAAGATGTTGGATACTTTCCCGTGGCGCTGGCTCCAGAATATTCTGAAAGTGCGATGGTTCTTTTGAATGATAAAAAGATCCTGCAGACCATCGGCGTGAAAATATTGTCTGAAGAAATCAGAAACCGGAGTCTATTGTGATTTGACAGATCTATCCGGAGAGGCAAAAACCTATCCATAACCATTCTGCTCCGGGCAGCAAAAATGTCTTTAGTCGTGTCGGAGGCTAGCATTCCACACAAAGCAGCTGCTAAAGGCGAACTTGCTTGCAACAATGAATATAACCTTTGCCTAAATCATTCTGATAAGCAAAAGCGTTAGACATCATTATTCTCCGTAATCGTTTTGATCCTGATACCACATATTACGACAACAACAACTATCTTTTATTTCAAGAGAGATGACTTTTCCATGGGAGACAGACTGCAGCCTTCTTTTGCTAAAATTTTTTGAACAATTTCAAATTACCTGCCCCTTGATTTTCCTGAAAAACGTATATTCCAACGCAATTGTTGGCTTCGGATCGTAATCTCTAAAGTAGGACTGCATTATTTAATATATCGGCAATGTATTTTTTTCGAACCTTTCCAAAAACCGATGGATTAGCGTGCTTTTACCCTAAATATGTCTCAGTGAAATCAGCATTCTCATTAAAAAAAGAGAAGTACACATTTTGAACTGCCCAGAACTATCAACGTTGAGTTTCGCTCCGTCCTGCCTAATGCACGTAATATTTACAAGGATAAATTTTGATAGATTAAAATCAGTACTTTTACTGGATTGAGCATTATTTCTCAGATGTTCCTTCGCTAAAGCAAACAGGTCCATCTGAATTTGCCCTGATGCGCTCTTGCATGAAACACATTTGTCGTCTCCATGGAAACACAATATGCTCAGGTACAATTAGATTAATACTTAATCTGTAGCGTAAAACTAGTATTGAGTGGATACAACATCTAACAGTCATTTCGCGTGTGCGATGTTATACAATTTGCTGATTAAAAATTCTAATCTAAAGCACTGTATGAAAACTTAAAATCAAGTAAGAAATTTTTGAGAAAGTAATCAG